GGTTTGACTCTGGTTTGCCCGACTGGACCAACCTACTTCGCCACGGCCGCAACCATCTACTACCTCGCATAGCCAAGCCCCGGCACCTCCCACAATGCGCCCCCTCAGACCCTCGTTAAAGCCGCGGCAGTGGACCAGATCAGCCGCGGCAGCGCAGCAGCTTCAGGACACCCGCCAGTAGGAATTGGCTTCGGAAGCCCAGCGCTGCCAGGCCCTGGACGCAACTTCTGGCGTGCTCATCCTAGACCTGGAGGGCTCAACTCCGCTCAGAAATCGAGGCAACCGCTACGAGCCCCCGCGCGCCGCCTGGGTCCATGCCGAGGATGGGGGGCCCAAGCGTCGAGCAGGCTGGCAGCAGCACGCTCGCGCATTGCGCTGGCTGAACAAGCTGGCGACGGGCGCGCGCGGAGCGGCGCGCCTCGGCCCCAGCCGTCCACGCAGCTCTTCAGGATGCACCGCAGGAGTTTCAGACAGCTCAGGAGCTGCAATCCCTGTTCAGAAGAATTCGCCAGCTCTGGGACGCTCTCATCGCGGACGTGCAGAGACAACGGCATTCAGCAGTGCCGTTTGCGCACCCAGGGAATCATTGACCACTTCCAGAAGGAGGGAACCAGCTGGCACGAACAGGCGCGCCCCCGGGAGGGACCCCAAGGAACTGCCCCCTGGAAGCCATGGGCGCAGCGCAGATGGCCACAGGGGTCGGGGGGGGGGGCCCGCCAGTGGAGCGAAGACCGCAACGCTGAGAAGTCAAACCAAAACTGGCCTGTGGTCGGGCAAGCCCACCAGACTGCTTGGACGAGGATTGGATCGCCTCTCGGAGCTCTGGGAGGCCCATGGCAAACCCCCTCCCCGCGCCCCAGGGCAACCAATTGAAACCGCCAAGCCCCCGCCCATCACGCCCCAATCTCTCAGGAGCACTGCTAGGAACTTCGGCCATCAAACGTGCCAGGCTAAGGATGGAGTCGGCCCGAGGAAATTCTGACCGCTCACAGAGGAGCAGCTGCAGATCTTCGCGGACCTGCCCACCAACGCCGAGCAGCCAGACCCCGTGCCCTCCCAGATCCTGGCCACCATTGCGGATCCCATCCCAAGTTCAAGTTCGCGCAAGTCCGTCTCTCTGGGGCATGTCCCATTCTTGCGAGCACCTCAACAGGGCAGCTCTCCAAGCCCGAGCCAGCAACAGCGGGTCCAATGGAGCGGTTTCAGCCGCGAGTCTCAACCAGAACCCTCAGCCAGCTAATCCAATGCTTTGAATTGCCCTTTTCAAAGGCTCTCCAGCTTGTCAGAGGCTCTCCGCGCAGACATGTACACAGTTAATCTAATCACCCTCACCAGGATCGAGGGGGGGGGGCCACCCCCCTCGCCCCTCCATGCCATCTGGACGCGCAGCGGTCTCAGAGCGGCAGGCTACGACCACGCGGCAGGAGGAATGCTCGTGCGGCGCGGCCACGGACGACCTACCCCGTCGCATGCTGAGAGGCCCCCATGAACGGCCCCACTAGAGATGACGTCACGGTCCTTACAAGCCAGGGCAGATTTCTGCCCGCTGGAAGTGTCCAGATTGAACCTCACTGTGGCATTAGAGCCCCAGCTGGGCTCGGCCTAGGCTCTCCAAATTTCTGGCCCGCGGAACCCTCGGCGACCCCCGAGACGGCCCTGGCGGGGAAAGTCTCCACAATCGGCTCGCGTCTGCACCCGGGCAGTAAAACTCATCGCGCTGCTGGGCGGGAGGCCCCCATGACCGACGAGAAGGGCGATGTTGTTGCAGCTTGACTTGGCTTAATCGGCCGTCGCCGCCCCCGCCCCTCCCCCGCCGCCGGCCTCCCCCGCCGCCGGCCGAGCATCGCGTCGCGCTTGCTGCTGTCTGGCAGTCCTCCCAGATCGTAGAGATTCCACTGGACTATCGAGGTGCATGGATTTATGCCAGCCGGGACTTTCTCGGCGAAACAAGAGCACTGGGATGGGCACCCTCGCGCGCGCCGCCGCGGGCTGGCGTCCCCAGCACGGAATTCCGAAGGTCAAGGCTCGTCGGGACGTGGACTCGCTGGCGTAACCGCGGGACCGGCAGGCGCGCAGGCGTCGCCTTTCGCGCCCCCAGCCGCCCCTCGGGAGGCGCGACCGACGGCTGCTCGGGAGGTGGTCGGCATCTCAGCAAGGACTTACATTATGTCGCGCATGCTGCACAAGAAAGGTCGCCGTCTTGGCCATGCACATCCAAGTAGGCGCCCGCCAGGCCCGCCAAATCTGCGTCGCCCCCCAGTCGGAGCGGCCTCTGCCTAAAAAGTCTGGAAGGCGGCCCAGCCGCCCCCGCGCCCCGCGCCCCCCGCTCGCGCCCCCCTCGGAGTTCGGGGGAGAGAAAGGCGCGCGGGCGGGAGGCGTCTGGCCAGAGGTTCATTTGCATTAACTGCCGTGAGCGAGCGGCCACAGGACATTCTAACAATTGCGCTGGCCATGCCCCCCACTTGGCCACCCCGCGTGATTCTCGACAGGTCGCGTGCTGTTTCATTCCGGTGCCTCGCGCAAGAAGTACCTCCGTCGCGCCTCGTTCAAA